CCCTGGAAGTGTCCCAGGGCAGCTGGACGGGGCTTGGAGCAACCTGGGCTGGTGGGAGGTGTCCCTGCCCATGGCAGGGGTGGGACTGGATGGGCTTTAAGGTCCCTCCCCACACAAACCCTTCCATGATTTTAAGATCCCAGCTCAGGTGTCCTTCCTTCCCTGCCTTTCACTTACGCACCAGAAGGGGACAAGTTCCCAAGTTTTCTAGTAGTTTTTACAGGGTCTTCATTAAACTTGCTGATCTACTTGTCAACATCCCTCCTCTCCTTGCAGCCCAGCCCAAGACTAAGAAGACCTTGGGCAAGAGTGGAGTGAAGAATGTGGTGGTGGTGGAGGGCGTCCGCATCCCGTTCCTGCAGTCCGGCACCTCGTGAGTAGCAGATGGGAGGAGAGGACGTAAAACACCCCCTTTCTGTGGAAAATCGGGCTGCCTGTTCTTTTTAGTGTGGTTATTCTTAGGCCTAAAGGCTCTGAAGTGGCGGTGGCTGAGGCTGCTGCAGTTACTGCAGCTCCTCTAAAGCAAAAATGGGGCTTGGAGAGGGTTGTCCTTGTGTATGAATTCTGGGAAGAACGAGGATTTAGGCAGAGTGTCCAGAGGAACCTGGTGGTGAATCTGTAGCAGATAAAGCAACAAGTTTCACCAGACTAGCAGGGCAGGTGCCAAGAATCTGCTGTAGACTCTTCTCACTGGGTTGTTACACCACCAGATTCGCAGCTGAACTAAGACTGGGCCTGACCCTTGGTCAGGATGGAGAAGGGATTTATCCGGTCACTGCTCCTTTTTTAGTGGGTTTAGTGCAGGGATTGTGTGCTGAGCTGGACACAGAGAGTCTGCACAGCCTGGGGGGTGAGTCAGGACAATCCCAGCACAAACACAGCCTGGGCAGAGAATGGACTGGGAGCAGTGCTGGGGAGAAGGACCTGGGGGTGTTGGTGGACGGGAGGTTGGACAGGACCCATCCGTGTGCTCTGGCCCCAGAACCCCCCGTGCCCTGGGCTGATCCCACAGCATGGAGGGGGGGATCCTGCCCCTCTGCCCCCTCAGCTGAGACCCCCCTGCAGAGCTGCCTCCAGCCCTGGGCAACAGCAGCACAAGGACGTGGAG